TTGATTTTTTCGTTTAATATTCGAGGGCTTCAACTGACATGATACATTAGTTGCGGTACTGTAGTGCATATTTTATCAGGGAGGTGGCGGGACCTACCCTGGATAGCGAGAAACCGCGCTGACCTACCATGGCTCTGGTCGGCCTCTGCGGTTGCTCGTGGTGAGGGTTATGCTAAACTATAGGTATTCTCGGCAGTCACTCCTTGAACACTGTGGACCTCGAATATGAATTCCCAACACGATTTTCGCCGAAATTGAATTCCCGTGCTGCACAACTACATTTCCTGGCATTGCAAAGATCCGTTATTCCGCGTCGTGCGCAAAATCACGCAGAAACCTTTTCCAACATTAATGCATATGAAGTACAAAGTGAAAGCTCTTGCCAATGTAATGCAATTTTATACTCTTGTAGTGCGTAGCTACTGCCATCTGATATTTGCATGATTGCTAATCTTACGACATTTCGTTCAACTTTAGTTTTGAACGTTGCAGAGGCTAGGTCAGTGCCATGAGTAACGTTCGAACGAGAGTCACTTAGCACGCTATCGATAGCGCAGGCGTCACTTCTCCTAGCTACGTAATAGCTCCTATTCAGCAAACTCAAATGACCTACTAATTCTCTGAACAGACTGTGTGAAATATCAGCAATATTAAGGATGCGATCTACCGTCATCAGACTACAGCGGAAGAGAAATATTGAATACGTTCGTTTCTGCAGTAACTACAACGGGAAAAACTGTGCAACGAAACTGTCCAAATATGCAAAAGAAAGACTACAGATATATTTCCGGAGAAATAGCTGAACGAGACAAAAGCAGACATGTTGGAAGACCTCGTCATGAAGGCCTGGAATAAAACTTCCATTCTTGTCGTTTTGCCGTGGTTAGTTTGAGAGCCAATTGGTGCTTTTCTTAATGGGATTGATCTAGTTGGTGATTAGTATATAATATTATATATATATATATCTATAAATAATGTTTATAGTAGAGGCCAAGTTATTATGGATGCACTTTCATTTTTGTCTATTCCTAGAATTCTTTAATATACGCTCTATTATAGTCTACAGAAAGGCATCGTTAAGTACACTTTCTTTATTGATGTTTTGTCATCTGGTTGCCCTAGTTTATAATTAATAGTTTTTTAGTAGATAATTGGTATCACCTGTAAAGTAATGTCACATACTGTTTTTTCATTACTTACAGAACAAATTATGTATGCAGATATTTTGTGTTCTACATAGAGAAATTTCATGTACAAATTCTGAGTAACTTTAAATGAAGTACTTGAGTTTCGCTGTAATTATTTTATATATTCAGTGCACATTTTATTAACAACGCACACAAATACGAAAAGATTATTTTTATCTTTAATTCTCCAAATTTGAAATGAGAAAAAATTGCAGACATTACCCACGCAAAGAAATCTGAAATTAAAGCTCTAATTCAACACTCTTGTCCATTATCACAGAAATAACAGCAAATCCTGCCATGTACTCAGGCTCAGAAAATATGTAAAGAAAAGAGTGGAAACTTGGAGAAACCCTACATCGTTCTCGTATAACCGAGTCATGTGGAGAAAGTGAATTACAGAACACTTGGAATAATAGCACAAATCAGGAAAACTGTTTGAAAAACAGAAAGGAGATCAGTAAAGTCATCTATGAAAAGATTGTTAGATTTCCGAATTCGTATTTGAAACGAACTCAGCGGTCGACGCGCTTGTAGAGACAGAAATTAAATCCTGCAGGCAGCCACAAGAGCCAAAACTCACTCAACTATGATATCCAAAAGAGACTTCTGTGGGCAGATACCTTATCGCATATGAGCATGTAGATGTGATGGTGTAACTCTCAAGATATTAATACACTTGTTTTAGTAATCGTGATGTATTCAAAACCTTGTACGTCAGGTGAAGAAATAATTGATATGAAATTTGATGTGAAGCCTTTCCTTTTTGAGCAAGGGAGTTATTGTTTTCAGCTAAACATACCATTGAAATTTCTGGCAGAGAATATCACTTCGCTTAGGCAGATAAGAGTTATCTGACTATTTTAGAGTAACACCATGCAGCTTGCTTGCGGATCGTATCGGCAAAAAGTAAGGATGGATGACTGGGTAAACTTGCCACGGTCCACTTCAGGTGAGCTCCAACGCTGACCACGCAAGCGACGGACAGCGGCAAGGTACGTGATAGAAGGTGTCTGTTGGCGCACAGATGTGAACTAGATGCACTAGGTTCGTATGACGATATATGAATGATCAAGAATACTTAGGAAATACAACTGATGCCTTCGCTATGATAAAAACTCCATGAAGTAGTGCCCGCCTGTCAGTTAAGGCTAGAAGTATCAATCCTGTTCCAGGCTGAAGACAGGAGTACAAGTTTTGCCGTGGCCCGTAATTCTCGCTAATGCTTCAATATATGATGAACGTTTTGGCATTCTGATGAAACACGAAATGGTAAAGGCATTGCGTAACCAACAAGACTGACTTTAATACAATAACTTCAAAAATATTTGAAATAATAATTTGAATGTGTGGATACAGGCAAAATGTCAATTGAGAGCAGCCAAAAAGGACCCTGGAAATGATCAAATTAAAAAGTTGGCATCACATCAAACTATTGAAAAGCGCTCAGTGATAATGTGATTTTTAATCATACTTCCATATTCAGATGTTAAATAATCTATAATTATTTCGTATTAGAGTGGTACAATTTTAGTCTACAAAATTATGCACCATCATATACATACAGATCAAAGTTGTATTATTTCCATAATAAGAAGCGGTCATAATAATTTGCCACTCATATATTATTTATTTATTATACTATCTTTTACCCTTAATTCACTCTTCTTTCATCCTACTCTCTTGGGAAGATTTGGAAATCAAGAACTTGCGGAAAGTGACGTTGGAATTATTTCACCGGCAGCAACACGACGCAGAGAGGTCAAAGGGCGTGGCCCGTAGCTCACTTATTCCCAGACAAGACTTCCAAACTATCGAATTGATGATTGTTCGCAAGGGTACGATTAGTTGCTAAGGCAATTAGTCCGTTTCACGTATGTGATGGTATATTCCCGGAGGTGGCCAGTGGTCCATCCCCCGCTGGATGGTGAGATCACGGCACCAATCTAAGCAGCCGGCTGTGGGGCGAGGATTCGGCCCGCCTAGGTTTCTAACGCATCCGGACAGCTCTAAGGCTCCCGACAAATGTGGTAGTGTAGTGGTATAAGTAAGAAGTGAATGTACCGCGTAGATGATGGACAAAGGAAGGAAGGAAAGATCGCGCGACGTCCATTACCTGTTTGGTTTGGTACACCTCCGGTGTTTGTATGGTATTGATGTAGAAAAACCATTAGAGGAAGCTGGCCACCTAAGAATTCTCTTCTAAGATAGCTGCTGATCGATCTACACTCTCTCTCTCTCTCTCCTCCCCCTCTCTCCTATCGCTCTCTTCTTCTTTCCTCCCTCCCCTCCCCCTCTTTTCCTCTTTTTTCTTCCTCCATATATATTATATATATATATATATATATATTATATATATATATATATAGGAGAGAGAGGGAGGATGAGAGAGAGAGAGAGGGAGGGAGGGAGGGAGGGAGAGAATTAAGGTGAAATTCCGCAAACTGTCCTTGCTCGCACACCTAGAGCTCCCGGGCACAGCAACGACAAGGTAATACTGGCTCGATGTTAACTCAGTCGGTCGATAAGCTATTAAAATCATGAATAAACTACCAGTTCAATTTATGAATTCGAGTAAATATGAAAATACAAAAATACAATTGAACATACGGTGGGTTGGAAATGGTACCGTGCGGTGTTAGTAAAACAAGCCCACTGTATTCAATGAATAGGAATAATACACCGATTCATTACGACATGGTCGACTATTCACATCGTCGGCCACTTCATTTTAAGAAAGCTTGATATCTTTGTATAAAAATGGTGCTTAAAGAACCTTGCACATGAGTAATGGATTGTGTTTATAACTATTTATCTGGAGTGTAACTTCATGTGATAACAGGACATCGAGTAAATATATTTGTGTAAATGGGACTGAATCAGTATTGGTTTATGAAGTTATAAAAGGAAAAACAACGTTATAAACAACGGAGTTCTTTTTTTTCACTCATACAAATTACAAATCTTGCCTTTTATAGCGCATTCGGTGGATCTTTTTGTTTCAAAAAGAATACCAACGTTATAAACTAATTCCATATAATTAAGGCAATGATGAATCTTTCTAAAATGCAGAAGACTGTGTCCGAAACGAGAAAAATTAAACATGTTATCTAACAGCAGTCCTTTATCCGTTGCCAAAAGATTAAACATGGTGTGTGACCTGAACGTTTCCTATCCCCCGTACCAACTCTCTGGCCACACTCTTCTGGGTTTCCGAGCGGTTTTTGATTGACTGATTTGTGATTCCGGGCGCGTCAACGGCTGATGTCATTAGTCTAGTAAGTATAGGGCATATTTTGTCGTGGGGGGTGGGTGGGGTGGAAGTGATCTTCCCCTGCTGGATGGCGAGATTCGGCGCCGATCTATCTGACGGGCTTACGGGCTTTTTTTCGCTGAGCAGGTATCTCCCACCAGCGGGTCACCACCCCAGCCGAGATAAGTTCTAAGTCACTTCTGGTCTCCCGGCATATCTGCAAGTATACTGCATCTAAGAGTAGGTGGGTGTAAGTAAGGGATGAGGATAGTTCAAGGAAGATGAAGGAAAGATCGCGCGCGATCCGTAGCACGTTTGTAAGGGAACTGCTCCAGCATTCACATGATGCTGATGATGATTGGAGAAACAATTGACAGCTATCGATTAGAACAGCCGGCCGCTAGAATCTCCTCCAGACAGCAGCTAAATTCGACGTAGCCACGCCGGTTGAGAACAGTGTATGCAAGACGAGGGAAGGAGGCTCGTCTTGTCGAGGGCTCCGCTCTTGCATGTGTGTGTGGTGTGCATGGGAGGTATGCAGTCGTTGCCCTCGGTTGCAGACACGATGGCCTCAGCCGCCAGAGCTTCACCGAGCGTCCGCATGGGCGCGCTGCTGGCGGCATCGCTGCTCGCGCTGGTGCTGCCCCCTGTTGCAGCGCAGGTGCCCTTCCTGGGCAAGTGCCCGAGCAAAGAAGTGCAACAGGACTTCAACGCCACCGCGGTAAGCGCTCTTGCCGCCAGATAGCAGCACAGGCCGTCATGCCTTTCATTCAAACCCAGAGCAGTGGTAGTCAGTGGTGTGGACCTCCGAGTTCTTTCCGGAGGCACGACGACTGATTTGGAAAATTAACTTGAAACTCAAGTCAATAACCAAATAAATTCACTAATGTTTAAACGTTTTTAAAATCACAATCACAATTTTTAAGTTATTGTTCTTGCCAGATCAAGGGAATAACAATGAATACACGAAACATGTGAGCCTTCCTAGAAAATAAATCTCAAAGTAAACAAAGTGCGTCCCTCTGTATCACTCTCTCTTTCTGTCTCCACCCATCACCCACTTCCTCCCTTCTCTCCCAGCTTCTCCCTCCCTCTCACCCTCCCTTCCCTCCCGCTCTCTTCCTTGTTTCCTTCCGCCTCCTCTCTTCCTTCCGCCTCCTCTCTTCCTCTCCCTCCTGCCCTCTTCCTTTCTCCCGCTCTCTCCCTGTACCTTCGTTCATCTCTCCCTCCCTTTCTCTCCCTCGCACTCCTTCCACCCTCCCTCCCTTTCTCCCTCCCCGTCTCCCTTGCTCCCTCCCCCTCTCCCTTCCTACCTGTCCCCCTCTCACCCTTCCTACCTCTCTCTTCCTCTCTCCCTTCCTTTCTCTCTTCCTCTCTCCCTTCCTTTCTCTCTTCCTCCCTCCCTTCCTCTCCCCCTTCTCCCCTCTCTCTCCTTTACTCTCATCTGCGTCAACTCTTACATTCTCAACTAAGTTATGATATGTCAGAAAAAATTGTAAATATGACTAAAGAACACTGAGAATCTGACATGACAACCGTCTATGGAGCACTTCTCAGGTGTTTTAAATTATGTGTCCTTAAATATGTATTCTGGTAATAATGAGAGACCACTTATGTGTAGTAATACACAGGAATGCCAAGACCTTAATCAACACATCATGTTATCGATTCGAATCTGATTTACGTAAAAAACTATATTTTTTAATCAAATCGGTTATGTATGTGACCACTTTCACTATAGATCATATCCGATTTCTCCATTCAGATATACCCATTTCGGATGCGCTTTTTGTGTTTTTATAACTTTAACATAATATCAGATTCTTAATGACACACATTATTATAACTGAAAATTAATTTATTCATTTTTTGTAGTCCTTGGTTGCTTGTCAGTTAGCGTGCGCGATTTCCACGGCACAATCCTGGTTTTGATTCGCGGTCGGAGCTTTCCTTGCAATGTCTCAGTATCTGTTGCTGTGTGACAGTGAAAAAGCTCACTTCTCAGGTTGAGAAGACCAGAAAACAGCGTAGGGATGTCTATGTGCTAACCACACGTACCCCTTAACCCACGGCTGCAAGGCCGGGACCCTGCTGGTAGGCTTTATTTCGTAAAGAGCTGTTGTGCCAAAGTACATATATTTTGTAGCATAGTTGAGAAATATCTCTTTCAATGGAGCTTTCACAGACATTTTCAATCCAAATTTCTTTCTTCACACTCCCCGCTCTTAGAAATCACACTTCGAAATTGAACAGAACCACATGCCCTCTTCCTTTTTTGTCTTTTTAACGGCCAAAATTTGCGCGGTATCATACTTTTGAATTTAGATCTTGTTGATCACCCAATGTCCTCACTTAGAAACCACTCTCCATTGCCTTCTCACACACCACGCAAATAAAGTAATAAACCCTTAAATCATCTGTTGCTGTGTGCTCTACTGAGATTCCTCTACCGACATTACACTATCTTACGACTATAATATTGACTGAAATTGTGAAAATGTTGTTTCGTACCACGTATACCCACTGATTTCTGAAAAAAAAATAATAAAACGTGATTTTATATAAAAAGATGCCTACGGCAGGGCCGCTAGCCACAGTGTCCAAGTGCCATGCCATGTTCTCTGTCGCAGTACCTGGGCAAATGGTACGAGCAGGAGCGGTACTTCGCCGTCTTCCAGCTGGGCGGCAACTGCGTCACGGCCACCTACACCGACGAGGGCGACGGCCGCGTCGGCGTGCTCAACGCGCAGACCAACCTCGTGTGAGTGCGGCGCGTGCGCTGGCGACCAGGCCCTAGGGCAGTGGGTCAAGGCGGTCAAACGGTCCCGGCGATGATGGCCTGGCCGGAAGGCCGCGACGTGCGTGACGCGCACCGAGTCCATCATTCGACGCGTGTATTATGTTCACGTCTTCTATTCAATTACTGCAAAACCTTCTTATACCGTGATATCACTAAAAGTACTTACTGGATGTGGCAGCGACAAAGGAAAAAAAAAGGTGCTGATCCATTACACTTTGTAAGATTGGAGAGGGGAGGCCGAGAGAGTGATGGGTGGGTGGGTGACCAAGGTGGCCAAGAGGGTGAATGAGGGTGAGAGTGGATGAGTGTATGAGTAGATGGATGAGTGTACGGGTGGATGAATGAGTGAGTAGATAGATGAGTGGGTGGGCACACAGATGGGTGAGTGGGTGAGAGGGTGAATACGTGGGAGGGTG